AACAATCCTAATGAATGGCCAAGACCATGACCACCCAACAACCCTAATGAATGGGGCCGGATAGTTATTGGCCCTTCCTTATCCGGTTGGGTTGGATCGGTCTGGACTGGCCCTGTCCACTTGACTTTCATAGTTTCACTCATACACGTAACACGATAAACATAGACATGGTCCTTTTTATTGACAATCAGTTATTTATTAATCTAAATTCTAGTATTTATAAAAATAACGCAATAAAAGAATAAAAAGTATTATTCAATATGTAATTTTTGTTGTGGAAATATGTCAAGTGTGAATTAATCATTTATAAAAAAAAACAAACATGTAGACATAATATTTTGCATTTTAAAGATTATTGATCATTATATTACTTACTAAATAGGATTTTGTATTGATAATTGAAATTGTATTTTCAAGGGTCAACTAACACTCTATTTTGAAACTAGCAACAAGGTACTTAAAGGAGTGACCTCTCTACTTAGATAGATATCTATCGAATTTCACTAAGACGATTCAAATAATAAAATAAATAATACCATTTTGCCTCCATCGATAAGAATCGGAGATTTACTGTCCTTGCCCCGTATGTAGGCACGAACATCATCATCATCATCATCATCGTCAATTTGCAATACTGGCAATAGTCTGTCAACAACCTCTTTAATGCAATCTGCCTCAGTCCTAAATGTATCAATGGAAAGAACAACTATTTAGTTCGAACTTTTAGAAATCAAATTGAATATTCTTTTTGAGTCAGTTTATCTGACACGTTTAGTTTGACTTGACATGAGTTAATAGGACGAATAAAAGTAATCTTACTTGTAATTTTGCAAATGGTGCCCTTTTATTTTCCCAGACTTCGCTAATGCACCCCTCCATCTTTGAATCTTTTCGTCTTCATATTTTTCCTCGTGTTTGGAAAAAGCCTCAGCAAAAGATTGAGTTTGATGGCTTACATCTGATGGATCTACGTTATAGAAAATAGGAATTACAATTTGGTCCAATTCCTTTCGACACTTAATGATCTCTGCAAGCTCGTTTAAACACCATTTTGACCATGCATAGCTTTTAGAAAATATCACAATAGCAAATTTAGACTCTTTTATGGCTTTTGGTAGTTCGTGAGGAATTGATGTTCCGGTTTCTATACGTTCATCTATGAAAACGTTAATTCCTACTTGTATTAACGCGTTATGGAGATGACTCACAAATGTTTTACGTACATCTGCACCACTAAAACTCAGAAAAACATCGTACTTTTGAATTTTGGAAGAAGAAGTGTGTGACATTGTTAAAGAATATTAGTCGCAATTGCTAAAAACTAATAGGGAAATTCTCAACTTAATGAAGAACAATACTTCACCTTTTTTTCACTTTTTATTCATAGTCTTTATGGTAACTTCTTATCATGTTCCTAATTGAAGTCATAAAAAATATATGTACCCTACTTCTTCTTTTTTATATAATTTAAGAAGACTTTTGACTTAGCCTTGGCCAAAAAGGTGAAAAAAAAATCAAAGTATAGGTATGCGTGTATTAGGTCTTAGGTTGATAGGATAATATTTGATTTGTAATTTCGAAATCCGCGTATAATATATAAGAAAATATATGTAATATTTTGTACGGAATGTATAAAAGGTCTCCATCGGTGATCCTCTAAAATTGACATAAACTTTCACTTAGATATTTTAACTAGAGTTTTTTTTCATTTTAGCTATCTTATGTCAGGTTGTATTGTGTTATTTTGACACTTTTTTCATTGTCAGCAAAAAAAATTAAAGTTAGTATAACTCACTCGTGATACCAAGTTAAATGAAGACATTTGTTATTTGACACAAAAACAATTCTTTAATAATGAATTTTGTATAAAATTATAAGTTAGCCAATGAATCAATGACACATGACATTTTTGCCCAAATATTTATTAAAGAGGACTAATTTTTTTTTTAAATTACTTTTGCAGAACACCCCCACCCACCCGCCTCGACCCTTGTCGTCTTCTCCAACAAATTAAACTCAACCCCCCTCCGTCTTCTCCGCCGACCGTTATATCACAATGCTTTTAAGTTTTATTAGTAGGAGGATTCCATTATACACAAACAAAGTGGTCAGTTTCTCAGCTTCTAATTAATTTAAGGGCTGCCATTTTAATGAAGAATTTGAGATAGTAATTAAGGTCAAATATCACATAATCAATTGTTAAATCTAGAAAAAAAATTGTTAGTGAAGTTGTAATGACGACTTTCAACCACATAATTTGAACTATAATTAATTAACTATAAAATGCTTCACCAATTTGACCATCAAATCTAATCCACGTAGAGAAGTTTATTCAACTCTAGAATCACTCTCATCACTTTTCACCATTGAAGGACCTTAAGGTAGGAAAAATGGTGGCTCAAAAATAGGAAAGAAGAAGGAAAAAATTAAATAAAAATTGGCTAAAATGGTCTTTCACGCGCTTTTAATAATTGTATTACACACGCAATATATGAATGACTAACTAAACTTTGTATAAAATAATACATAAATTCTCCTAACTGATTCATTTATTACTATTATTTGCATAACTCTAATCAACTATCAAACAACCTCGCATCAAACTTAGAAGACTTAATTACCTCGGGGTTAATTACCTCTGCAAATCAAGTCTTTGAAATTTTCAAAAACTTAAGGGTCGTTTGATACAAAATATTAGATAAAATAATATATATATTAATTTCGATATTATTTTCTTTTTATTCTTATCTTAGACATGACCAATACTTAACAAATCATAATATTAAAATAATATAATTCATTATCATACGTTACGAAACAATAGATAACAATATTCATATTAAAAGTCGGTTTATTTGAATTTTTGGCACTCGATTTGATTCGGTCCTTTAGTTAATTCATTATTAATTTAACTTTTCTACAACTTGATCAAATGGTTTTAGTTATGTCACAGTCAACTAGGTAATTACTTCTAAACAAAGACTATTTGGATCATTGACTTTGATAAGTATTTTTTTATTGAATTAAATTATTTGTGGATATAATATTAATATAGTACACAAAACGTATCTTTTAATTTGATCTTAATTAGCTGATATTTATATTCTTCAATTTTTGACATGCATAAGTAGGTACTTAAACTTGTATAAAATTGAAAAAATAGACACACATCCCACGTGACATGATGTATGTAGGATGTAACGTAGATTGCCACGTAGAATACATATATCTATTTGTTTAATTTTATAGAACTCGACCATTTGGACCAACCTTAGTTGGACGCTTCTTCAGTGTGCAATGAAGGTCACCATCCTAGGTGGTTGAGACTTTTTATCGACCATTGACCCCGTCTAGATAAGTATGTTTCCTTGAAAATCCTTTGTGTCGGCTGATGAGGAACATCTTATGCTTAAGAGCTACTAGAATGTTGTTTATTTCTAATTTAAACAGATGCTTATCCATATAATTTGATATACAAACCTATAATCGGACATCCATTCAGTCCATTCTTTTCGATCTTGTACTCTATGTAGGCTTCCACGGATCAGACTAGACAAGTGGTATATTGAACACCAACACAATCTAGATGAACAAAAGGAAAAAAAAGTACATCCTTTAACGACCTCTATTCGTGACGTGAACCACCACTTTCATATTCGTAGCCACTTTCCATTTGTTAGAGTTCACATACTGTATCAATAAATAGTAGAAGCGTGCGATAGAAAGTAGAAAAACAAATTGATTTGACTATTGAGTTCTCTTATTTCTTGAGTAAAGTGACTCACACTAAGCTACTTATTTTGGTGTTTTGTAATGCAAAAACCATTTTTAGGCAAAAGGAAGTAGTGGATGTGCCAAAGGGAAAAAACAAAGATTAATTTTAATAACAACTTGCAATAGTTTAACTTGGATATTTTAAGGAAACAAGATCCATGAATTTTGGATTGTTCTTTAATATCGTTTTAGTTAAGTCAACTTACTCAATAAATTTCTCCATCAAAAAATAAAAAAAAGTTGTCGTGGAAGACGAGAGGAGTTGCTTCTAAGCTCCCTCCAGCTCTAAGGTTGTATGTTCGAGTTACCAGGTTATTATCTATTTATTTCAACATGTAACTTAGTTTTGTTCACATTTCGGATGTGTGATTCATGAAGGGTTCTAAAACACATCTCGCGTTGTATTACTTTTAGGGAAAAGGGTCTTATATATCCCTCAACTTTGTCATTTAGAGCTGATATATCCCTCGTTATAAAAGTGGCTCATATATGCCCTTACCGTTATACAAACGGCTCACATATACCCCTGCCGTTTCAAAATGGCTCACATATACCCTTCATTTAACGGAAATTAAAAAATTAGTTTTAAATTTATATTTGTTACTTCTAATTTTTTTAAAAAAAATTATTTAGGGGTATATATGATTCTTTTATCAAAGTTCAAGATATATTTTAATTTTTTTCATACATAAATTATTTTTTGACTTCTCTTATTATAATTATTTGAGTTTCTTATTCTTATTTTGTTTTTTCTTTCATTCCTTAGTTTAAAAAAAAAATTAAACTATTTTTTGTGTGTGTATTGTAATTTAATTTCGTATTCGAAGAAAAAATTTGGTCATCTATAATAAGTTTTACAAGAATATTAGTGAAACATAAATAAATTTGATTATCAAAATAATAATTATAAATTAGTCATTAAAAAAAAATTCAAAAAAAATATGTTTGACAAGGATTAAATTTACTCATATGGGATTATATTTTTTAGAAAAAAATAATAAAAATTTAGATTAAACTTATTATTTTTTTCATTTTCGTTAGAGGAAAAGGGTATATGTGAGCCATTTGTTTACAAGTAGGGGTATATATGAGCCACTTTTATTACGAGGGGTATATCAGCTCTAAATGACAAAGTTGAGAGATATATCATACCCTTTTTCCTTACTTTTATCGTTGAAGAAATCCACGAGGCAACATTCTAACCATAGATTAACACACTTCGAGGATCGAATAGAAACGTAAAATAACAAATAAATTCAATATTTATGTACTAGGTTGAAGTTAAACTTGGAATGAACAATCTTCAAGTGTACATCTTGAACTTCAGAATTGGTAAAAACACAAACACACACATTCTCAATTAAGAATGTCGATCACTAGGCGTTTTCTTGTTGTTTCTTGGCATGGATATTTTTCAACTCATCGACAAATGCTTGGATATTGATAGCAGAGGAACCGCGCTCTGCCACTGCTTCCTCTGCTTGTTTCTTCCACTTACGCGCATTTTCTATCATCTCTGCTACCTTCGAATCATCACTAGTGGCTTCACGCAAGCATTTCTCAATCTCTTCCCTCCGAATTATCTTGCTCCCGTTCTCATCTTTGCTTAATCTTATCCCCATTTTGAATACATCAACCAAATACTTTGCGTTCGTGGCTTGATCACCCCATTGAGGGTAAGCAATGATGGGGACGCCACTTGAAATTGCCTCCATCGATGAATTCCATCCACAATGTGTCAGAAAAAAGGCGGTAGAAGGGTGAGACAAGACTTGTTCTTGTGGACACCATTTCACTATTTTCCCCCTTCCATCGACTTTCGAAAGAAAACCATCAGGTAACACAACAGGCTGAAAAACAGAATAGCCAGGGGTTGGCTTCATCACCCATAAGAAAGATATCCCCGAATTTAATAGTCCAAACGCGATCTCATCTGTTTGTTCTTGATCAGGAACTGCAACACTACCAAATGAAATGTAAACAACTGAAGATGTTGGCCTCGAGTCAAGCCACTCGATGCAATCCTCCTCGATATTTGTGCAATCACCGCGAATGTGGCTAACGATTTCAGGGTCATTAAATAACAAGGGACCAATAGTCCTAATGGGGCAAATTTTCGACATATGCCTAACCACCTCATGTTCAAGTTCTTGAAATGAGTCTACGAGTACGCAAAAAGGTTTGGACAAGTTGTTGAATTGATTCAGCATAATCCGTTTCAACACTAATTCGAAGCCACTTGATTTGAGTAGGAACGTAGGCAGATCATCGTGTTTCAAAACAGGCATACTAGGTAGGATGACATCCTTTTCAGGTTCGAGTTCACTTGGAAATGGTACTAGATTGAAATTATAATGGTAATATATCGAAAAACAAGCACAAGATTGAATCCATAACAACGCGTTAGGTATTCCAAGACTCTCAGAAATTTCACATACCCATGGAAAAAATGGATTGTGGACTATACAAGAAACAGGACGACCTTCGTCATCCTGTTTCTTCAAGATCTTAGTCAAGTTCCTTCGTCCGGTTTGCTCAAGCATTTGCATCCTCAAGTCAAAATCCTCAATAATGGATTGATCCGAGGATCCATCCTCGAAGAATTCAAACCTGATCATACCATCACCGTAAGGAGTTGGTTGATCGATGATCAAGTTCATATTGACAGCTCTCATCTCTTTGCCAACGAGCTCGGGTGCACAGAAAGTAACCAACATGCCCTTGCTAGCAAGGCGTTTCGCTAGTCTGAGAAAAGGGTTAACATTGCCTTGACCATGAAATGAAACAAGAAAGACATGGACAAGACTACTTTTTGTGTTTTGTGATGGAGAAGACATGTTTATTTCAATAGTCAATATGAAGATCAATCATCTATTTATAGTTGCAAACTTGCAATAGTCAAAAACAATAGTACAACTTATTTCTCTCTGTTTCATTTTATATGACGGTGTTTCAATAAACTGAAATGTAAATGAAGTCATTAATTGGTATATGGATTTAGAATAGTCTCGGAAAATCTTAGCAGTTCAGTTGATTGAATATCTAATATTTTCATCTTGTTGATGATGGTTCAATTTGTTACTTTGTAATCACCTCCCCCAAGTAGTCTCAGGAATCAAGATCCATGAATCTTGGATTAGAATAGACAGTCTCGGAAAATCCTAGAAGTTGCGTTGATTGACTACCTGATCTTTCACTTTGTTGATGATTATTCTATACCTCATCTTGACGTAATCATCTCCCCCGAATGGTGTTAAGAAATCTTAGTACTTTAGTTAATTGACTACCTGATCTTTCACCTTGTTTATAATGATTCGATTTCTAATAGCCTCGTCGAGTAGTCTCAAGAATCAAGATCTATGAATATTGAATTATCCCTTAATATATTTATTTCTTTTAGAAAGTCAACAACTTGGCTCAATAAATTTTTGAATCAAAGGAAATTAAATTGCACAAGTAAACGTTTCACCAACCCCCACTACCCCACCCCCACCCCAATTATCTTTTTACCCAATTATATAATGTACAGGTGCAAACATATACTAATTAAAAATAACAATTTGAAAAGAAAATCACATAATATTATTAAACACTTGAAGGTCATGAAATAAAAATATATAATAGTGCAAATTTCTTAAAATAATCTGAAAGATTAACGATGGATATTTATTCTATTTAAGGACAAATTCTTCCTCAAATTAAGTACTCAAATGCTTTAATTTGAAATTTAATGAAACAAAATGAAATGATTAATATTCTTATTGGGAGATCTCAGTTTTAATACCATATGATGATAGAGAAATTAATATAATAAGGACTCAGTAAAATATTTTTTTGATTATATAAAATAAAATAACCGAAAAATAGTATAGTATAAATTTATAAAATAATCGTCCTAACCATACCACTAGTATCCTTAGGCAGATGCGCTTCCAAAATACAATGAAAATCACTAAACTAGGGTTAAAGTTAAATGGCATAATCATAGTGTATGTATGAACTCTAAATTATTGCTTAAATAATTTATCGAATGATCGATAGGTTGTACAATTATTGATAATGGTAGGTAAGTTGTAACTGTCATAATATATTGTGTGGTTAAAAAACTTCTTTATCTTAAACATGTTAATATCATTTGTGTGGCTATAAGAGCTTCTTATCATAAAAATATAAAAACATAGCATTTTCTTTTAAACAGAACAATAAAGAATAAACATCAAATAATGACGGACACATAATTTTCATTCAGGAATTCGTAACATCAAGAAGTAAATATATAAAAATTACAAGATGAAAAAATAAAAGGGAAAAGGGTCTGATATACCTCTTAACTTTGTTATTTAGAGCTGGTATACCCCTTGTTATGAAAGTCGCTCATATATACCCCTACTTGTAAATAAATGGCTCACATATACCCTTTCCTCAAACGGAAATGAAAAAAATAATAATTTTAATCTAAATTTTTATTATTTTTTTCTAAAAAATATAATGTCATATGAGTAAATTTAATCCTCGTCAAACATATTTTTTTTTACCTTTTTTTGTTTCAATGACTAATTTATAATTATTATTTTGATAATCAAATTTATTTATGTTTCACTAATATTCTTGTAAAACTTATTGTAGATGACCAAATTTTTTCTTCGAATATGAAATTAAATTACAAAAACAAAAAAAATATAGTTTAAATTTTCTCTCTCTTTAAACTAAGGAATGAAAATAAAAAAACAAAATAAGAATAAGAAACTCAAATAATTATAATAAAAAAAGTCAAAAAAATAATTTGTACATGAAAAAAATTAAAATATACCTTGAACTTTGATAGAATAATCATGTATACCCCTAAATAATTTTTTTAAAAAAATTACAAGTAAAAAATATAAATTTAAAACTAATTTTTTAACTTCCGTTAAATGAAGGGTATATATGAGTCATTTTGTAATGGCAGGGGTGTGAGTTGTTTGTATAACGGTAAGGGCATATATAAGCCACTTTTATAACGAAGGATATATTAGCTCCAAATAACAAAGTTGAGGGGTATATCAGACTCTTTTCCCAAAATAAAATAAGGTGTCCGCTAAATTATTTAACCCGTCGTATCATGCACATTTAATATATTTCCCCAATTTTGCTCTACACAATTGAGCCCTTTTAAAAAATATTGTGCCTTTTTTTTAACTCACTTTTAATGTCCTACTTTATTTTAAACTTTTTTTCAAATTAATATCCAAGAAAAGACGATTTTTATAAAATAAAGTAAAAAGTTTAGTGATTGAATTATTAGTACTATATAATAGGTAAATTAGCCTCTAAATGTCTAAAAGATCGCCTTATGATTGAATGTACCAATAATCACATATGAGAACAAATAAAAAATATATTGGAAGTACATCAACAAATGACTATAGGAAAAAAAATAAAAATTGGCATGTGGTACCATCACAAGTTCGACTAATTCAGATTCACATTCAACAGACTCATACTCAAATTCGAGAATTATAATCAGGGTGATAGGTATTCCGTACGTCTATCACACGCCGCGCTTCCTCCTTTGTACCAGGAACAACATTCCTAATTTTCAAGCCATTTCTTAGTGAATCTGAGGGGACTGTGAAAGTGAAGTAGAAATTGTTTGAAACCTGTGAAAGAGCAAAGCAATAACATACTAATTTATCAAATAATTCATTAAGGATTTCATAATAAAAATGTATCAATACTTAAATTTTTATTTTATTCTCACTTTCTATATGTAAAATATTAGTCTAAGTTTTAAATTCTCTTGAATTTCTGATTCCGTCACTAAATAATATTCGATATAAGATATAGTACACACCTCACTAGAAAGATCTTGGGGCTGTGTAACATGAGCTAGCACTTCCACATTAATCAAAGGCCTAGATGAATTTTCAAATTGTGTGTATATAACACATGATTTGAGGTGAAGGAAATCTCCAGCATCTACCTGCATTAGTAGACTATGTCTTAGCTATAATTTATATAAGACAATAGAAATATTTTCGTCCTTATCGATTAAACTTTTAAATAATATAATCTCATGTAACAATCGTATCAACGCAGTTATATATGTGTTTCTAACAAGTAACGCACATCAAAGCAGATTTAAAAGCAGAAAACAAAAGTAATGAAGACATCACAAATACTAGAGGAAACATTCCAAAGCATATAAAGAAAAGGAACAATAACCACATAGTAAAATAAAGACATAATACACAATTTAGCTTCAAATTTTAACTCTGACCTCCAATTTTCATAATGCATAAATAGACACTTTAACTATCCAACTTTTAAATAAATAAATGCATGAGTCCCACATGGCACAAATCACGTAGGACAAAAAATGACATGTAGGACATATGTGTCTATTTGTTCAACTTTATACAAGTTTAAGTGTCTACTTGTGCACACCCAAAGTTGAAGGGCATAAATGTGATTCGAAATCAAGTTAAAGGGTATAATTATGTATTATGCCTATTACATAATACACACAGAACACCACATAAAACACAGATTGTCATGTAGGATATGTTTGTCTATTTGTTCAATTTTATACAAATTTGAGTGTCTACTTATGCATTTTCAAAATAGGAGAGCATAAATATTAAATGAGACCAAGTTAGAAGGCATATTTATATATTATGCCTAATAATAACATAAACACAGTAAACAACATATACAATAACATAAATCGAAGAACCAGAAACTAGGAGAATAATATATAAACACTTACTGGTTTCAAGAAATTAACATGATCAACTTCCACAAAGCAAGGTGGAGTCCTAGCAAATGAATAAGCAGTTGCATATGCCAATTCATAAGCTTTCCTCATTAAATAACCTCCAAATATTTGTCCATGAATGTTATTTTTCTCTGGTTGGCAAACCAAATAATTTTGAAGACAAGTTTCATTAATTAAAATGTTATTGTTGTTGTCTTTAATATTTGCCAACAACAATTCATTCAAATTGTCTTTTTTTTCTTCTTTTTTCTTCTTTCTCATTTTGTTTCTTTCTTCTGCTTCTTCCCATAGATGTTTTTCTTTTTCATTTTGAGGTAAAATTTGGTTGATTTTAACTGATTTTCCTCTCTTGTCTTTTGCTACAAATGTGAAGTTTGCTGTAAGAGATACTGACTCTTTGGAATTGGTTGGTTCTGCAAGAAAATGATAAATGTCATAAGTCTTTTTTCCAATAAAAATACTCTTTTCGATTCGTTCATTTTTACTTGTCCACGATAAATTTTACACAAATATAATGAAGTGCACATTTTAGCATGATACTCATATTGATTAATAGGCATAATACAGATATTGGACCCTAAACTTGGTTTCAAATTTTAACTTTGACCTCCAACTTTCATAATGCACAAACAGAAACTTTAACTATCCAACTTTTAAATAAATAAACACATGAGTCCTACATGGAAAAATACACGTAGAACACCACTTAGGACAAACAATAACATGTAGGACATGTGTCTCTATTTATTCAACTTTATACATGTTTAAGTTTCTACTTGTGCACACTCAAAGTTGAAGGGCATAAATGTGATTCGAAACCAAGTTAAAGGGCATATTTATGTATTATGCCTAATTAATATGCGATACTCTTTAATGGACCTGAAAAATAATTTGGAATAAGTAATTAAATGAAATATTTTATAATAGCCTCAACGGACATTTATGTCCTCTAACTTTGAAAAACAAGTACACACTTAAACTTATATAATACGACACGAATTGTTATGTAGGACGAATGTGTCCATTGTTCAATTTTATACAAGTTAAGGGCCTACTTGTGCACAACGAAGTTAAAAGTCATAGTTATCAGTTGATGCCAAGTTAAGTG